TCCTCACATGAGAATTGGGGCAACTCGTCATATATGGGGCTAGTGGTGAAGTCACTCTCACTCTCAATATGGTGAAAAAAGTCACTCAAGTCATCATACGTCGCCGTGGTCGAAGGGAAAATCTCATGCTCAACCATCTCGTCATCGTCGCCGTGGATGAAGGCCGAAAATGGCACATCATCACTCTCCTCCATGACCGAAGGGAAAATCCGATGCTCGATCATCTCGTCATCGTCGCCGTGGATGAAGGCCGAGGATGGCACATCATCACTCTCGCCTCCAAAGATGGAAGCATCATCCTTGCTTGCCACCGTGTCGCTCGCCTCCAAAGCTTGGTCCTTGAGGGTCTCCATAGTCGTACTCGTCGCCGCACCGTCTTGAAAAAGAGTCGTGGTAGACTCGGCATCATCAATGCCACAAAGAGGGATGGCGGTGAAGTCGAACTTGGGAGCATCGTCTTGGAGCTTGTCGGGCTTGGACATCTTAGTGGTACTATCCTCATGCTCGTTCTCATGGATCTTGGTCGTAGCGAAGTGAGCTTGGGGTGGAGAAGCCTGCCTTCATGAGTTCTTGTTTCGCCTTGAGAGCACCAACATAGTTGTCATCGAGGGACTTATAGTTCTCGAGGAAGACAGTCTTGGAGATGTCGTTGCTCAATCCCATCATGAAGTGGAACTTCATTGCCATGGGGTCGTCCATGCCGGCTCGTCGCAAGGCAGTCTTCATCTCCTTGAAGTACCTGTTGATGGACTTGGATCCTTGGATGGTGTTCTCCAATTGGCGTAGAAGTTGTTCCGTGTAGGTTGGAGGCACGAACTCTCGCCTCATAGCTCGCTTCGTCTTGGGCCAACTCATGTCGTAGCTCTCGGAAGGTGTGTGAAGCCACCAAGTCAAGGCGTAGTCGTGGAAGTTTCTTGTGGCGCACTTCACTTGATCTTCGGAAGGGACTTGATGTAGCTTGAGGTAGTCATCCATCAAGTGCCCCCACTCGATATACTCCTCGGGTTCTTGAGTCCCATAGAAAGGAATCGCGTGGGCGGTGTCCAGGTCGTAGTAGCTCGTGGAAGTCACGGACTTGAGCTTGGGGAGCTTCTCTTGAGCATAGCCTTGGGGTGCTTGTTGGTGAAGATGCCATATGTCCGTAGGCGAAGATGCCTTGAAGTCGCTTGGCGAAGATGCCAAGGGAGATGGTGAAGTCATTGAGCGGTAGTTGGCGTTGAGCTCTTGACCTTCATGTTCTTGTCTGTGATGGTGTCGATGCCGATGTGATCTTGCCGGAGATGGTAGCTCGGAAGGATGTGCTCGTGAGCGTCTTCTCGAAGATGAGGAAGATCGCTTGTACGACTTGATGCGGGCCTTGATCTCTTCCATTTGAGCATCCATCTTGGCGTCGAAGTTGTTGTTCGTGGCATCGAACTCATCATTGTTATAGACCGAAGGTGAAATGCCTTGCCTATCCATCACAAGACTCGAGCAAAGGTGAGTAGGAAATGAGATAAACAATACCAAGTTACCTTTTCCTAAAGTTGAGGATGTATCCCGTTTCACTCAATGTGAAATGAAAGAATAGTGGAATCGGTACCAAACTTGTTCACTCACACCTATCAAGTAAAGCTTATGGAGTAGCTTGGTGAGGATAGAGGCACAAAAATTTGATGCAAAATGTTAGCAAAAGTCAATAATGTTGAAAGAGATTCACAAATTCGCAAGTGAAACAAGTAGACCAATAGCAATGAATGGCACACGGAAACACACACACGGATAGATAAATGGGGTCGTGCAACCAAGGAATGAGCACAAAATGTGAAGCCATGAAAAACGCTCATGTTGCACAACTCAAGAGAGATGCTAGCACGATTGCTCACTAGGCAGATACAACACTTGCGCACAACCTATAAGATGAAAAATGGATAAACTTTCTATCCCAAGTATGCTATGTATGTATGTTCTAGTGCTTTAGCACAAGATGATCCAAGATGATCAGATATGATACCATATGATATATTGTGATGCTATGGCTATTTCTTACAAGCTCTTTGTTCACTCTTTTTATTTGCTTAAAAGCTTATTCTTTTTTTCGTATGGCCATTTTGCACAAACCAAGATAGCAATAGGGTATATGCGAGAACAAACTTGTGACACAAGAGATGATATGATGATACCAAGATGATACCAATGTGATATGGTATATATGCAATGGAAGGTGTAGATCCATGATCACTAATGTGTACAAGTAACGTTGCCGTCAATACTCAAAGGCTAGTCTCGATAGGCAAGTAACACAAAATGGGCTAGAGGTTATAAATGCAATGGCAAGGGGAATATACAATGGTGTCGTCGAGGTTACCGTCTGTGTCGATGATGAGAGGTGGTGTTGTCAATGTTGACCCGTTCCTAGTTAGCCGAAACACCCTAGGAAACGGAAAAACCGCGAACTCAAAATCTCAAATGTCAAATGTCAAAATGGTGGTAGCGGAATGCGGTGGTAGTTTACCCTCGGCAATGCGGAAGTGGAATGATGGGCTATATGGGTCGAAGTTGAAGTTGCCGTCCCTAAGTAGCCTAAACACCTTAGGAGACACAAGCCACAACTCAAACAAGCTCAAACAAAATTGGGTTATGTTGGGGTGGCGGAAGTGTATGGTGGACTAGGTTATGCGGAAGTGGTGGTGGTGGTTGATGAAGAAGCAACCGTCCCTAAGTAGCCGAAACACCTTAGGATACTCAAATCACTACTCAAGCAACCACTAATGCTATTGGGAACAAAATGGGTTAGATTGCGGAAATCGATGGTGGTATAGCAGATGATGTGGTGAAGGCCCAAGGAAAAGTTGCCCAAGTTCCAAAAATTTGATGGAGCCAATTGATGTTAGTGGTATTTTTTGTGGGATGGGGGATGTCAATAGGTTCAAAATGAGCTAAAGAACGTCAAAATCGGAGTTCAGATGAATTAGTTATGGCCGAAACAAAAATCAGCCGAAGTCTGAAACTACAGGTGTCGGTCGTCCGATAATGGTCGGATGTCCAGTCGTCGAACGTCCGGTGGGGCTTGGAAATCCACTGTTTCATCTCGAGTTTGGGGTTCCGGTCGTCCGGAAATGGACGGACGTCTGGTGGGTCGGGGTCAACGCGGGATTTGAGCTTCAGGACGCGATTTTGGGCGGAATTTAGGGATTTTGGGGTCAAAATTGAGCAAATTTCGTGGATGAAAGATGAGGAAACTTGGGGAGATGCTAGATCCACTCGAAACCAAGCAAATCCATGGATCAAAATCAACAAAACATCATCAAACCAACAAATCACAAAAAAATTGGGGCTATTTTTGGTGGGGATTTTCAAAATTTAGGACGAAATCAAGCAAAAGAAGGCTGGAAAACGGTAGGAGGGACTCCAAATACGTGATCAACGTGGCACATGATACCATATGATACGGGGCTAACCCGGTGTAGGCCGGTCTTTCACGATTGGAGTGGATTCCCTCGAAGAACACGATGAACACGGAGAAGAACAGAGAGAAATCACAAGGGGAAACACTCAAGAACAAGTCCAATCACACATCCACTAGACAATCAAACACACAAGATCACAAGGTAAATGAACAAGAAAAGGAAAGATACAAGGTAGAGTTCATCTTCA